TGGACACACCAGATTTTATCGAGGGAGGGCTTGTCAGGTGTGGTGGTTACAACTAGGTCTACTGCTTTATAGCCATCAGGAGTAGTGGGTAGCCAAAAGTAGGCATGGCTATTTTGATTAATTTGCATAGAGTTGGTGCTCCATGTTTGTGTGTAGTCAAGTGGTTCCTTTAGTGCTGGACTGCTGGCTTACGGGTTGAAGAGTGCTCTTTGGCCACAAGAACCCATCCAAAAAGGGGCTTGTTGTTAGGTTGGCTATAGTAACCTAACATAGAGAATCCTTGCGGTAGTCCTGTTGGTTCAAAGATTGTAGCCCCGAGATTATCTGGAGCACCTTTATAGGATCTCCATACTTTGTTGAATGTTGAAATATGAGCCACTTGTATGTCACCCAGATTGATGGCCCACTGGCAAATCCATCACCTAAATGCAAAGGAGTAATTCATCACCAACAAGAATTGGCTAAATATAGCAGCATCGATCAAGTATGATAAATTTTGACAGTATCTGACATATCACAGCACTTCAATTTATGCTTGAATCTAACTTTGTCCGAAAGTATAACGAAGCACTTAGCATCATACAAGTGCTTCTGAAGTATCAGTGCTTCGCACAGGGATACTTCGAGTGTGGAATATGAAGCTGAAGTGTGCTTGTGTCGGACACTTTGTCATTTACATTCTAAATTGTGCTTGTATCAGATTAAGGAATCTGCTGTGTTCTAATTCTATATCTCTGCTTTTGAACAGGGAACAGTTTGAACATCAAGAGAGGAAAGAGAAGACAAAATGAAGATAACGGTTATTACCTGGTGGCCAGACTGGTGTCGGAGCAGGAAGCTTGAAAGTGGTATCAATGGGAAGAGTTTGATCTTTGCTTGAGATACGGTTTGCAGAAGGAAGAGTAAGACAGTTCCCCAACTCTGTTTTTATCAAAAGAAGATGGAATCCGAGAATATATAAGGAGCATATTTCTTTGATGCTAAATATGGCGATAAAGATTAAAGACTACATGTATGTATAAGATCATTTTGTCTCAATGATGTTTCGTGCAAGGAAGCCATTTGTCCTTACAGGTATTCGTCTAAAATCTTAAACCTTATGATATGCTACTCATTTGTTTCTTGAATTTCTTGTTAAGCCTGAACTCTCGTTCAAGATGCCAGATTTTGGACTGATTCATTCCAAATTCTGATTTAGAACAAGTGTCAAAGGCAATAAATGAAAAGCATCTAATTATCTTGAGCAAGAATACTCATTTTAGTTCTCTTACCAGTTTGTATTTTGTAGTATATGCGTAATATGCGAGTTTCGAGACAAAATTGAGGTTGTGTGTGTGTGTGTGTGTATTCCTATGGCTTAATATGCACGTTACATTTATTTTGAATACCTTATTTGGCTTCTTGATTGTTAACTAAATCATAAATTCAAAACTTTCAAATAGTTGAGATGAAAAACAAAAAAATTTAAATTTTAAGGCTCGGCCTTCTCAAGGGTCATGTCTTAGTAGTTACATATATCCATGAGTCAGTAAAAAGTGATACCAGCAGCAAATGAGAAAAATAGCACTGAGATTAATTCATTTTATTTACTTATTATATTTTTTTTATAATGTTATAATATCATCGCAATATTTAATAATCCAATCTTTTTTATTTTTATTTTGAAATTTTGTTTAATTGTTTTCATTATGTAAATAAAGCATTCTTTTTCCTCATTTAATTTTAGTATTTATTATTATTTTAAATAAAACTAATATTTTATAAGCAAGTGTGAAAACTTGTAAAAATCATAAAAGATTTTAAATAATTATTTATTATGTAAATTATTGAGTAAAATTTTATTTCTAAAATCAACAATATGATATTGTTCTATTGGGGAAAAAATATTCTTAAATAAAAGGGTTTTTTTTTTGGGCCAAAATTTTTATTAAAAACTTTAGTGAAGTGTTTTTCAAAATAAATACTTGGAAATATCATTTCACAATTTTTTTTGCGTGTTCTCTGATCTTTTCTCTGTGAAGCCTCATGTTGCCTACCTAGAAATCTCAAACAGACACAAGAAGATAGAGATTGCTAGCTGTATAGGACGAGCTTGAATCTTTGAAGCCAGAATCCGAACAAAGCAACAGCATACATACATAAGAAGTTTTCATATCCAAAGAAATTCGCAAACAAAAACAAGGCAGGTAAATGACGAAGCATACATAGCAGAGTCTACTGATGATTCTGATTCTCACCTGAAAATGCCTTGAACCTCCCAGCTGCAGCTCCGGCCAGTAGCCTTGCCGTCGCATGATCTCCACATAGAAACACAGACCACACAAAGCCTAAAACCATCATATTCATCATTTTCTTCTTCAATGTTCTCCAAACCCTACTTTCTCTCTCTCCCTCCACATGATATTATCAACAAAACCCAGAAATCTCCCCTTTTCTGTGTCTCAGTGTCTGTATGTGTGTGTATATACAAATGCGCGTGCATGCATGCATGTTTATACATTGCTTTCAAATATAAGTAATTGATGATTCTGTTTAGTATATTCTTCTCTCTCATTTCTTATGCCTTTGTGTGATAATCTCAATTAGTTTTTCTTGAAAACATTATTGAGAACTGAGAGATACTTGAATGAAATGTAAATTAATGAATACTCTGTAAGATTAGTACTGTTGGTTTCTAACATAATTAGGCCAGTATTGACTCTAATATACATGAATGCTTTTAAGACTTGCACTACTTCACGAAGCTTAAAGCCAATCCCTTAAACTTTGTGTTTGACACTATTAACTAATTAAACTAATAACGGAAGTTTGTCATGTCAGACAAGTCAGAATATTCTGTATGCATGTGATTATATGACATGGAATTACGAGTATATAACCGAAGAGTACTGTTGTGATGATGATGATGTACGATATATATAGGAAGAATTCTGCTTCGAGGGAAATCAGTAGACGATATGAATTTGGTGACGTACGAAGAAAAAGTAGGGCAACCAGAAGGAAGATGATATACGTAGGTTTAGTTTTATGTAAAATTATCTGATAACTTGGGCCGAAGTGGCGTCCGGTTTCGGTGTTCATCATAATGAGCAATTTAAATTGTTAAGATAACCAACGGGAGTTGGTTTGAGTAGTAAGGAGCTCGATTCCGCTTAAGCAAGATCTCGACTTCAAGCCTTGTGTATGCAAAAAATTTCCGCTAGGAGACTCACCCACCATGCCAGGTGTGTGATGCGGGTCAGATCTGGATGTAGTCGAGGCAACGCTTCAGTGAATCGGGTGGGCTATCAAAAAAATAAATTCTCAAGATAATTTGAACGGTTGATATTAACAAGTTTTATTTTATTGTTTATTTTATAATTATTAAAATAAAAATTATAAAAAAATTGTCTAATAAACTTATTTTATTATTAATTTAAACAATATAAATTTAATCTTATGGCTCAATTCAATATTAAAAAATTCAGAACTATTTTGGCCAATCCAATTTTAAAATTTTTAACTCACAACTTTTTTCTAATATATTTTTTTAAGTGTTACTTTGGAGATTATTTTTATTTTTAATATTATTATTACTAAAATAAAAATTCTAAAAAATTTAATGTTAAATTTAAACCGTTCCATGTATATGTGGACGATAAATTTTAAAAAATTGGATAGCCATTATATTTTATTTCATCAAAAATAAGAATTGGATTGTCCAAATTGAATCTATATTATCCAAATGGTTAATAAGGTTCATTTATTAAAATTTTACAATTTTTATTTCAATAAATAATAAATAAAAATAAAATAAAACTTATAAATTTAAACTATTTAAATTAAAAATTTAAATAATTTATATTACTGTGATGAGCTCCACCTCTTCTTCTTCCTTCTTTAATTATCATTGGATCTTGTAATATGTAAATATGTCGTGGGGATTTTAAAGTAATTCTTCGAAAAACATGATACCTGACCCCACGTTTCTTCTTACGAAGAGTCAATAGTTGTGTTTCAAAAACAGTCATTTGATGATTATAAAGCACATTGCAACTTGCATCCAAATGAAACAATTCTTGACGGAAAAATTACTGTGAGGATTGCTTAAATAGATTTAATTTTAGTTAAAAGCTCTTGAAGTTTTAAAATTTTACTGTGCATTTGGATTGAAATAAAATTTAAAAGTTAACTGAAATAATCTTATTGTCCCTTATAAATCTAAGCACATAAATAATTCATGTAGAAAAATTAATAATTAATGTATGAAATATGAACAATTAACGTTAGTGAAATTTACAACTCTCATTAATAATATAATGCTATTATAAATATAAATAAATAAAGTGAAGCGCATGAATAACTCGTGTGAAAAAATAAATAATTAACATATAAAAAATAAATAATTAACACAGGTGAAATAAGAGTTCTAATTTCATAGCATATTATGCTGTTAATAAAAATTATAAATTTCACCTACATTAATTTTTTATATCAATTATTAATTTTTTTTATATAAATTATTCAAACACCAAACTTTATTGGAGATAATAAAATTTTTTCGACCGGCTTTTTAATCTCATTTCTATTTGTAGTAAAATTTCAAAATTTTTAAGACTTTAACTGAAATTAAATTCGGTGAAGTGGTGAAAATTTCCCATTCTTGAACCCCGGACGGAGGTTTAGAACTCTTTCGCAGCTTGTAATTTTACCGGGTTAATTAATATATTAGTATTTAAAAATACTATGATTTTTTTGTTTGTTTTTTCGGTAATTCTCAACTCCACCATATATATGAGTTTTAACTTTAGTTTCTGATTTTCTGTTAAATAATGAGAAAAATCGATTCCCCCATTTCCTATTTTTTTACCCCAAAATTAGTTTTGGCTCGGCGCAATCACTAATAGCATTTGCATTCAATTCAACTTGTTAAAAAAAAAAAGAATGATGAATAAGAATCTTATAAAAATGTTAATATTAAATTAAAAATAAAAAAAGAGTATTAAATTTAAGAACGTGAATGTTAAAAAAAATTAATTCGATATTAATATTTTTATAGATTTCACTTGTCATTCTCCCTAAAAAAAAAAGGAAAAGAAAAAGTCAAATACAGCTATTCGTATGAAACAACAGTGAGTTATACTGATCTTCACATCAACGAACAACTTCATCTCCATTCCAGTTGCTCTTCACTTTCGGACCAGTGGGCCCTTCTTCTCCTAGCAGTTCATTTGGCAAACTTCTGACCAATTTCTCCAAAAGCTTCTTCAACTTCATGGGCAAATATTTCTCCATCTTCTCCAACTTTTCTGCAATATCATACCTTATCTTCGGACCCCATTCTCGGTAATAGTTCAGCCATGGCGGTTCCACAATCTCCAACCCCAAATACTCCGCAGAAACTACTTCATACCCCGTCCCCATATCCACCACCATATTACTCTCCGCAGTATCGTTTCTGAGCCCGACGCTATTGGTTCCTTGAGGATTGAGCCCTGGTTTAGGGTAAAACGCATGGCCATGAAGCGAAGAATATACGACGGGTTTGTTTCCGTTCTTGAATTCAAGATCGAAGGAATCGACCCAGGTACCACCACTGTGTTGTGAGAAATATACCTTCTTGAGTTCTCCATTGAAATTGCTTACTCTTAGCGTCACGTGTTCCCAGTCCCCTACGTGTTGGCCGATTTTCCCTAGTGAAATAGGGATGAACTCTACTTTTGCTCTTGCTGGTCCATTGAATGGGTAGTATACCCAGAATGCTATGTCTGTGAATGTTCCACCAAACATGGGTTTTATGTGCAGATACACTCGTGAGCTTTGTAAATCACCCCTTTTAACCCTTTCCTTATTGTCTCTGTCTGCTGGAAGATCTAGCCAATAGGAACCATCATTATTAGGATCCTGAGGAAGATTAGTGCCATTTGGTTGTATTGGGGCAGGTTGTGACTCGTCTCCTTTTTTATAGAGTAATCCTCCGTTGGCGAAAAACCAGTTTACAGAGGAAGGGAGGTATTGCTCTTTAGGATGCAAGTACATGATTGGAGAGTAAGCCTTGACTATTGCTTGAATTTGTTGTAGATTAGGCATGGAGGTTAAGTTAATGTTAGTGTTTTTGAAGCAGGATATAGCCAAAGCACTAGTATTTCCACTATTTTGAGCTAGAAATGTGCCTACAAGAATGCCTTGAGCTTGAGTTCCTTTATTTCTTGGTCTTGTTTCATAGAGATTGAACTCATTGGAGTCATTCGATTTTCTTGGCCCCCAAATCCATGTATGTGTCTCAATCTGGTCAGTGAGGTCTGACCGGACACACCGGATTTTGTCGAGTGATGGCTTGTCCGGTGTTGTGGTCACAACATGGCCTACTGCTTTATAGCCATCAGGAGGGTTTGGTAGCCAAAAATAGGCTGAGCTATTTTGATCAATTTGCAGAGACTTGGTGCTCCATATCAGATTGTAGTCAAGTGGTTCTTTTAGAGCTGGGTTACTGGTTGAAGTTGAAGAGTTGGCTTGTGCTACAAGAACCCATCCCGAAAGGGGCTTGTTGTTAGGATGGCTATAATAACCCAACATAGAGAATCCTTCTGGTAGCCCTGTGGGTTCAAAGATTGTGGCCCCAAGATTTTCTGGACCACCTTCATAGGATGTCCAAACTTGGTTGAATGTTGAAATCTGTGCCACTTGCAGCTCACCAAGATTGATAATCCCACTGGCAAACCCATCACCTACATGTAACATGGTAACAATCCTTCCTCAATGAGACAATATTTGACACAACACTTGCTTTGAATTGGACTTAAAACTCGCATATGTAATTTTTATCCTAAAAAAGAGCACAATCTATGAGAGATGGGGTGTTATACATGTTTAAGATATGATATAACCCTGTTTCTGAAGTCGAACAGCAAAAAAGGAGGAGAAACAACTATATGAATATATGATTATTAATTACCTGGTGGCCAGACTGGTGTTGGAGCAGGAAGCTTGAATGTGTTATCAATGGGACGGCTTTGATCCTTCCTGGAGATACCCTTTCCACAGGGCAGAGCAAGACAATTCCTCATGTCTGTTTTTATCAGAAGGAAATTGAATCCACATGGTAAGGTGAGTAATGTTCTTATACAATAACGGCGGATTTTGCAAGGAGCATATTCACTTGATGGTACATGCATGTGACCATAGAAAGTTTATGAGTGGAAACAAAAAAGACAGCCCAATGATGCGTTGTGCAAGGATGCCTTGTTGTCTCTATTGTATATGTGTGCTTATTAAATCTTATTAACCTTGAATTGTCGCTGATTCGAATGTATGACTTTGGAAAGGACTTTTGGGATCTAAAAAGGACTTTCTGAAAATGCACTTTGTCCCAGAGTTGTTTGGTTTATTATCTTTTTATTTGGTTGAGTTTGGGTTCAGTTTTTGGAACAGTTGTACCCTTGAAACATGAATTTGAAGGCTAGGACAAGATTGTTTCCAATAAAAAATACCCGTAAACAATAGAGGCACTTTAAGTTGTTTTCGGCTTCAGAGAAGTGTTCGTTACCCACGGGACAATCCTTCTTCCCATGCTATCCTCTTCTCTTCTGTCAAAAACAACTCTCTCCTCTTCCCATATTTCGCTGCTGAATCTGATCGCAAGGTCTTGTTGGAGGTGGCTAATCGAAGGCCACAAGTTCGTTTTCATAATCTTCTTCTCTGGAGAAATCATCTCCATCACAGGAATCTTCAATCTGCAAAAATCATCTTCGTTTATGGGTGGTTGTGGGTGCTTCGCGGTCTTCGTCTTCTTCAATGGCAAGGGTGAAGAGAAAAGAAAATGAAGATAATTTGTTGAGATATTTTAGGAGAGAATGAGGGATGGAAAAGTGACGATGAAAAAAGAGAACTTCCAAGTTTTTTCCTCCTTTTTAAATTATAATTATAATTAAAAATAAAAAAACTATAAAAATTTTTATGAATAATTGATAATTAATTTTAAAATAATATATCTGAATTTTTTAATGTTGAATTATAAGTTATAAATGTTCTTTTCTTTTAGTAATTATGTTTAAAACAAAATGTTAATAATTATCTTGATTTTATGTGATGTTTGTATATTCAGATTGTATTGGGTTATATAGTATTTAACATTATACATACATAAAAATATTTATATTTTTTTGTTTAAAAATATAAAATATTTTTAATTAAATTTTACCTTTAATAAAATAGTTATTTCTTTTTAAATTAATTCTATCTTTTCATGTTTACTCTTATTTAATAAAGTATTTTACTTTAAAATAAATATAAAGTAATTTATACGATAAGGATATTTTTGAAAAACAATAATAATTATACTTTAAAAAATTAAAAATATATTTTATTTTTAAACATTTAACTTTTTGAAAATATTTTACATTTTTAAAGGGAGGAAATATTATTTTTTAGTCAATATACCAAGTATTATTTTTATTTTTTTTAAAATCAAGTTTTACGTAACTTGGTTAATCATGATGATAAATAATACTAATTACCATCTTCATCATCGATTTCAAATGTAGACTCAAGAGAGGTAAATAATGTACATGATATGGAAATTAAAATGTGCATTACAATTGAACAATTCGTCATTTAATTTTTTTTATTTGAATATATTTAAAATTATTTATATTATTATTTATTTTTATTATTCAGCATCTCAAATTTGTTTTATTTTTTTTGGTCAGAACATATCAAATTTATTTTATTTAAGTTTTTTATTACGTATATTTTCTAAACATTTCATACACACACATATATGTCATTTGCAAAACAAAAGTTAGTATCATAAAATCAATCTCTTTTTTTATAATTCAGAAAAAAAAATTATTGCATACAAGATAAAAATCCAGGAAAAATAAAAAACTTAAAACATTTGCAACAGCATCAACAACATCATCATTAACATTATCATCAACATTAATATAATTTGACACTTCTTCTTATGGTGCTTCTTTAGTAACAAAGATATTAAGCTTTTTTATATCTTTCTTAATCATCTTTCATTATTAATATAATTTAATTACTGTATATTTTTTACTTAAAAATTTTGAAATATAATTATTTATATTTTGTTGTTATAATTATTTACTTGTAATTTGTAATTGCTTATACAATTTCATTTCACATCTTGTAAATAGAATTAGTTGATATAATATAATTAAGATAATATTTTTTAATATTTAATTTTTAATAATTTTAAATGTCTCAGTGCATCACTAATCACTAAGAGTAGTAAAATCTAATTTATAAGTAATCTCCAAAAAGTGTCTTGTAACTTTGTAATGGCTTTAACTAATTGTCAAAAGTTGTAAAAAATTTTAATATTAACAAGCTTTAAGTGATTTCTTAATTTTAAAAATCTATTTGGGAGCATTTTATTTTTGAACCACAGCAACTAGTTATTTTCAAGTTAGACTCAAAAACTTTGAAAACACATTAGAAGCTCATAGAAGACTTAATTTCTTAATGTTAACAAGTCATGCTAAATTGATTTAATGCATGTTAGATGATGCACAAATAATGTTGTGGCCTTAACAAAAAGTATCTTTACCTTTATCTTTGCTGCAAACTAACGCATATCAAATTGAAAAGTCTAAAATAAGATGCCCACTAACTATCCCAAACCATCAAGGTTCATATTGAAAAATTCTTATACCTCTTAACCTAAGAGAAGAAGTCACAAAACTCAATATTAATTATCAAATAAATTATCACCCACATTGAATGCCCCTTTCATGATAGAAGCAAGCAAATAAGTATTTAAATTTGGTGGCTGTATTTAATATAAACACTAAGTGCCTTTATCATCTAAGCCGTTAAAATATAAATCAACGATTTAGATAAACTCATTCATTTATTAATTTTAAATAAAATATAAATTAATAATTATTGATTTGAATTTTAATGATTTAAATATATAAACATTTAATATTTATATTAAATATAGTTATTGAATTTAAATCTCGTAAGTGAGGGTCAGAGAGCACAAATATCATGGAGAATAACTCCTATTGACGAAGAGAGAGAAACCCCACAAAAAAAACTCCAAAATCTTGCATTGTTTTTTCAAATTTCAATGTGTTTGATTAGTAAATAATTAACTACTGTAGTCCATAAAATTCTCCCAAAATATTTAACAAAGGCCTTCTAAAAAAGACATCAGGAGTAGCAATAAAATACTGATATATATATATATATATATAAAAGCAAAAAATACATTTCAAGTCTTGGATCAACTGACAGCTTCATCTCCATTCCAGTTATGCTTCACCTTTGGACCAGTGGGCCCCTCCTCACCAAACAGTTCACTCGGCAAACTGTTCACAATCTTCTCCAAAAGCTTCTTCAACTTCCCAGGCAACCATTTCTCTAACTTCTTCAGCTCTTCTGCAACATCATAACTTATCTTCGGACCCCATTCTCTGAAATAGTTCAGCCATGGCGGCTCCACAATCACCGACCCCAGATACTCCGCAGAAACCACTTCATACCCTGCCCCCATATCCACCACCATATTACTTTCTGCAGTATCGTTCCTAAGTCCAACTCCATCGGTCCCTTGAAGATTAGTCCCTGCTTTGGGGTAAAACGCATGGCCGTGAAGCGAAGAATAAGCAACAGGTTTGTTTCCGTTCTTGAATTCCAGATCGAAGGAATCGACCCAGGTGCCTCCACTGTGTTCTGAGAAATAAAGACTTTTAAGTTCTCCGTTGAAGTTGCTAACTCTTAGTGTCACATGTTCCCAGTCCCCCACGTGTTCACCGATTGTCCCCAATGAAATGGTGATGAATTCTAGTTGTACTCTTGCTGGTCCATTGAATGGGTAGTATACCCAGCAGGATATGTCTGTGAATGTTCCACCAAACATGGGTTTTATGTGCAGATAAGCTTTTGAGCTTTGTAAATCCCTCTTTTGACTCTTTCCTTGTTGTCTTCGTCTGCTGGAAGATCCAGCCAATAGGAACCATCATTATTAGGATCCTGAGGAAGATTAGTTCCATTTGGTTGTATTGGGGTAGGATTTGATTCATCTCCTTTTTTATAGAGTAATCCTCCATTGGCGAAAAACCAGTTTACAGAGGAAGGAAGGTATTCTTCATCAGGATGCAAGTACATTACTGGCGAGTAAGCTTGGACTATTGCTTGAATTTGTTGTAGATTAGGCATAGAGGTTAGGTTAACATTGGTGTTTTTCAAACAGGATATAGCTATAGCACTGGTATTCCCACCATTTTGAGCTAGAAATGTGCCGACAAGAAGTCCTGGAGCTTTAGTCCCTCTGTTGCTTGGTCTTGTTTCATAGAGATTGAACCCATTTGGGTCATTGGATGTTCCTGGTCCCCAAATCCATGCATATGTCTCCATCTGATCAGTAAGGTCTGCCCGGACACACCGGATTTTATTGAGCGAAGGCTTGTCCGGTGTTGTTGTCACAACATGGCCTACTGCTTTATAACCATCAGGAGGGTTTGGTTGCCAAAAATAGGCAGAACTATTTTGATTAATTTGGAGAGACTTGGTGCTCCATATCAGAGTGTAGTCAAGTGGTTCTTTTAGAGCTGGATTGCTAGGTGAAGAGTTAGCTTTTGCCACAAGAAACCCATCCAAAAAGGGGCTTGTTGTTAGGTTGGCTATAGCAACCTAACATAGTAAATCCTTCTGGCAGTCCTGTTGGTTCAAAGATTGTAGCCCCAAGATTATCTGGACCACCTTCATAGGATGTCCATACTCTGTTGAATGTTGAAATCTGCGCCACTTGAAACTCATCCAGACTGATTATCCCACTAGCAAATTCATCACCTGCATGTAAAATGGTGATAATCCTTCACCAATGAGACAGTGTTTGACATAAATCATACTTCAAATTGTGCTTTAACCTCAAACATATTTTGTTCTAAACTAACGCAAAAGCACAATCTGTGACACATGGGGTGTGGTCTTATGTCTAATGTAAGTGTTATCCATGTTTAAGGTATGACAGAACTTTGTTTCTGAAGTGTCAATGCTTTGCAGATAAATGCTTCAAATATGGAATATAGAGCTTATATATGTATGTTTGATAATTTTTCAAGTATTGTGTCAGATATGTCATGACATTTCAAATAATATATAACTGCCCTGCATCTGTTGTGTTTGCATCTTGTTTTTGGACAAGTAAGAATCTGAACAAGATAATGATGATTACCAGGTGGCCAGGCTGGTATTGGAGCAGGAAGCTTGAATGTGTTATCAATGGGAAGACTTTGATCCTTGTCGGAGATACCTGTTCCACAAGGGAGAGTAAGACAATTCCCCATCTCTGTTTTGATCAAAAAGAAAATTGAATCCACAAGGTAATTAAGTTGAGTAATGCTCTTATACAGACAAGAACTACGGATTTTGCAAGGACCATATCCATTTCGATGATACATGTGACGATAGCAAGTCTTTGAGTGGAAACAAAAGGGACGGCCCTATGATGATGTGTCGTGCAAGTAAGCCATTTCTGTTTCTATATGTGTGCTTCTCATGAAACCTCATGGGAATGATTGTTTATTTTTCTTGCCGTTCTTGTCAATTCTTTCTTTTGGACGACTTTTTCTTCTTATATAACATTGAATTCTCATGATTTCTCCTGTCAGGCACAAATACATCTCTTATGTGATGAAATAAACTTCAAGATGGACCCTTTAGATGGGGGAATTTCAATAAGATATTAATGTAGATTAATCATATAACAAGAAAGCTCTTTCATGTAAAACTCAACTTTTTTTTTCCAAGATTGACCCTAGAAAGTACAGGACCTAATGGGTAGTTTGAAGGA